CTTCCCTTAATAAGGTGACTTAAAATGACTTATCCGCCTACGATCTAGTCGCAGAAAGGTGACACCAATTGTTTGTGACAACTTGATCGGAGGTCACTAACTCGGGCAAGTGAAGGAACTACGGGATCTAGGTGCATGTATGATTCCCAACCTCAAGCCGTCAACGCGCTGTGCCAAAACCGCAAAGAAGGCTATGGGCATCCTAGGAGCGCTCAAACGGTCCTTCCTCTATTTTGATGAGGAGCTATTTGGGCGAGTCTTCGGAACATTTGTTCGGCCGATATTAGAGTATTGCATCCAGGCGTGGTGCCCCTGGATGAATAAAGATTACGCAATGCTGAAGAAACCCCAAAGAATGGCGACCAAGCTGGTCACGAACCATCTGACAGCATCTATCTGTAAATAGGATTTTCGTAGGCTCTGTCTATCTCACTCATATAAACAGAATTGAGGTAAACTGGGAGCAACTGTCCAAACCTAAAGCATCCGATAGGCCACGCTGGCTGAAAATACGCCGTTGAAAAGCGATAGTGGCATATGTGGTTGCCATATTCAGTTATGCAATCACGATGCACTTTGAGTAGGTGTCGACCACGACTGGGTAAGAGTCTCTATTGCGTGTGTTCATATGGGAACAGGGCCTACGTGGTGTTTTTCATGATACTGACGATTTACGAGCAGGCAACTTGGCAGCCTTTTTACAATGGAAATAGCGTCAAACGAGGTTGTTTGTGTCATTATCAGTACTCGGCCATCAGGTAAAACTACGAGCGATGAGCTTCATTTGAATAATACCGGAATAAGCGATATAAACAATTCCGCCTTCTTGATGACTTCGGAACATATTTCTTTTATCCTAAATTAGTAATTGAGGAAGTTCGCTACCTTGTGTATAGAAAGATTGACCACGGTACAGTTGCGCGGAAGATTTTGCAGTGTGCATAATCCTCTCAACCTATCGCGTGCCAGCGAAATTTTAAAGGTTAATTCCAAAATTTCTGCGATCCTTAGATGCATAGAAAAAGAACTTGCAGATGGAGTTTTCAAGAGCCTGTGGAATTTATTTTGTAGGTATGGCTTTCTTGTGTGCTTGCCCGACGGAAATAGGGAAAAGGCTTGCTGTTTATGAGAGAGCGCTTGCGAAGTCACTTTCTTGCCTGTTTGCTAGTTATAATAGGAAATAATGGCAGTATAATCGTCTCTGATCATGCTTTCGATGGCCAATAATTTTAAAGACATGAATCGTACAGCCGGTCAATATGGACAGCTGGGTTAATATGTGCAAATATTCGGGGTCCAAAAAACTCACGAACAACATCAAAAGGACGATCGACAAACTGAAGAAGGCAGCAGCCCTCACGAGAAGGGAGGCGCTATCTGCAAAGACCGCTGACACAGCGATGGCACGTTTCTACGGCCTACCAAATGTGCACAAGCCAGGGGTGCCCTTACGCCCATCGTATCCTTAAGAGGCACCCCAACCTTTGGATTGTCAAAGTGGCGTTACTAGCGATTGAGTTTCCTCACAAAGGGTTTAGAATGGACAGTAAAGTCTTTTAAAGAGTTTTTGACCCGCACCCAACACCTGGAAGTGGAGGCAGACGAGGTGATGGAGTCGTTCGATGTGGTCTTGTTGTTCGCCTCAATTCCACTCGGTCTGGCTATCGACACTATCGACGGCCTCCTCCGCGAACAATATGAGGAGACCGAACACAAACTGAAGCGGGTGCATATTATCGAGCTCCTGGAACTGTGTCTTCAAACTTACTTCAAATTCAATGGCCAGGTTTACCAGCAAAAGAAGGGGACTCCGATGGACTCGCCTCTGTCTGGGCTAATTACCGAAGCCGTTTTGCAGAGGCTAGAACAAGTTGTTATCAACTCCCATCCCCCAAAATTCTGGGCATGATATGTTGACGACACATTTGTCATAATCAAAAGGAGCGACATGCTGACCTTCAAGACACTACTAAACTCCATCTTACCGGACATACAGTTCACAATGGAAGAGGAGGTCGATAATCAATTACCCTTCCTCGACGTTCTAGTCACAAGGC